TTGCCATCGCCTTACCCCGCAGGAGGAGAGATGTTCAGTCTAGCGTGGGAGTACTACGTCAAGAACTCTCCACGGGTCAGATCCGATCTCAGACGGCAGCGCGAGACGGCGCGCGTGGGCAAGGATGGATTCGAGAGGGAAAGGGCAAAGACAAAATGGGGCTTCAGGAGAGCCATCAGGAGAGGTACGCTTGGCATCTACTCTCCTGGAGGCAGAATAGCTCCGTACGATGTGGGTGTCAGCCCAAAGACCCCCGGACCCAAACCTCTGATGGGCAAGACGCCGCATCCAAGCAGGACTGCCCGCCCCTAAATTCGTATCGCACGTCAGCGATGCGTGCGCACAACGTGTGGCGTCAGTGTGCACGAAATTGGATCCATTTTGGTTGACGGCTGCAAGCTTGAGCAGTGTGAACATTCGCATGTGGGCAGGCTACTATCTATGACCCTTCATTGACCAAAGTCTCGTAGGGTGATAGCGAAAGCAAGCCCTTTACAAGTTTGATCTTCGCACGTGGATGCTCTTCCGACCTTCTGCGACGTGGTATGGGCGTCGAGCGGTGCCGAGTAGAGAGCCGTGCGGTGGGGGGGAAAGAGGGGGGGGTTGGCGAAGCGGTCGCGTCAACGGGCCAGATTCTCTCGTCTTTACAATGAGCGACGCCACCGAGCATAAAGTACATGTGCATTTCGGTGCAGCGGGGCTGCCCTGTGGTTGAGCACGTCACATACCCCTCGCTTCTCTCCCAAACTTGAGCCTCCTGTACTCTTTAATGGCCCTCTCCCGTTCCTTTTCCAGCTCTTCTTCTCTCCTCACATTGACGCCGCTCCGACTCTTGCCGACGACGGGGTCTGGTAGTCTGACATTCTTAGCGTCGACTTCAGGTACGCTGGCTCCCAACGCTTCCGCCAACTTTCTCTTTCTCGCCTTTGCCGCTTCGCCTTGACCTCGAGGAGCCCTTGTAAGTGTGGGTGGTGCTTGAGCGACGTCATTCAAGCGCCGTCCTTGCGGTCGAGGTGCAAAGTCCAATTCTTCTTCGTCAGAAACGTTGTTCGATCGAGCCAATGCGCCACCTTTACCCGCACTAGCCTTTTCCAACGAAGCCCTGGCTCGCGCCAAATCCGCCTTTCCCGGTTCGCGATTCGCGAATCTCTTCTCCTTCTTGCTCTGGCCATCCTCATTCTCCTCGCCAGCAAGACGAGCTTTGTGTGCCAATTGCTGATGCACCAAGCACCTACTCGGATCCTTGCACACGTGTGCAGCGGGGTCTCCACCAGCATCGATCGCAGCCTGTCTCTCAGCTGCCAGCTTCTTTCTCTTTCGGCTGGACTTGGATGGCAATCTCGGCGCCATGGCCATTTCGACTCTCCTATTGAAATCGCCCAGCTTTTCGCCTTCTCGCAGTGTCAAATTTGATGTAGATGCTGATGCCTTTCCATATTCTCCCCCTTCCGCCTTTTGCTGTTTCATAGCCTCCCTTTTGGCTTTCGGTCCAAGGTCCTCTGCGCTCCTTCTCATACCTGGCAGGTGCATCTTGCTACGGAAATCCTCCCTCACTTTGCCAGCCTGCAGTATTCTCATCGCAGACTTGGGCACGTCGGACAAGTGACCTCGCATGACTTTGGCGTCCGGAGCCTTGTCGCTCGCGCCCTGCCGAGAGGCGAGGCGCTTGTGCGTGCTGACTCTTTTGTGAGGCATGGTGAGGCGAGTCGAGTTGGCGGATAAGTCGTCGAAGTCGGTACGAATCCGCGAATGACGTGCGTGTGGCAGTCGTGACGACGGCAAGGAAGAAAGGTTTCGCCACGCCACCTTCTCGCGCGGGACTTTGCACGCCGCGTCGGCGCACCCCCAGTCGCGCATCACGTGTGCGGGCTCACACAGCCACGACCCTCGTAGCGAGGCAAGCATGACATTCACGAGGAGCATCATAACAACAAAGCTTTCAGCATGAATTTTCCTAATGTCCACAAGTCGGTCATGAGGAAAGGAGAGCGCGCGCGCAGATGTTCTGCAGCCATGAGGGGAAATACTAAAGGACTTGCTGGTGACAACAACGGCAGTTGGAGACGGAGCAAAGCTATGGGATAAGTTGATCCGTGACGGAGCGACGATATGCGGACGATCGTAGCAAGAAAAAGAAAGAAAAAAAAAACTTCGACGACGAGGCGCAGTGCGTGTTAGCACTGAGCTCAGACGGCGGCGAGTACACGGAAGGATGGCATGCCAAAAACTTCCCATCCCTCGTCGTGGGTATCGTGGAATGACGAGGTGGGGCGGTCGGCACCGAAGGCTGGTCCTAAGGTTGGAGGCGAAGGAGACGAGCAGCGAGGCAATGCGAGTCCAGATGGGTAGCAGCGCGCAGGGGAGACTTTGTCAAAAGTGTGGGCGACACTGCCCCATCTCACTTGACGTCTGCATACAGCGTCAGCTTAGCTCCGCTGCCTAGCCACTCCTTCAAGTCGTCATCGTCATAGAGCCGAACATTGTGACCGCTGCCTCCCTCCGATGGTGGCGCGTCCTTGTAGCGCAGCGCCGCCAGCTCGTTGCCCAGCCTCTCCTTGACCTTGTCGAGCAATGAAGCATACGTGACGTTTGGTGGCACGCGGATAGCCACCAAGTCGTCGTTGGCCTTGTTGAAGATCTTGATCTTGATGTAGCTTCCTGCTGACATGCTGGACTGATTTCCTAAACTTGGTTGATGCCGCAAAGCTCCGGATGCATTCGATCCCTGCGATTCGAGCGTCGCTGCAGAGTGATTTCTCGCCATTGAGCCGTGAGGATTGAGATGGGAGCCTGCAGACTTGGTGTCGCTTCTCAGATCGCTGCTTCTCCCCGACACCCGCTGCCCATTCTCTCCAATGCTGAGGTTGCCGACACTCCTCGACATGTCGTCGACATGGTTACCAACTGGCATGTCTTCCGCATATTTGCTGCGCCCGGGGAAGCTCTTCAGCTGTCAGCTCTAGCGATGCGCTGCCCTCGTTTCGACTACCACTCACTTGGTTCCATTGCTGACCCCAGTACCTTGCGCGACGCTGGCGCGATTATTGAGGGCGCCTGATAGATAACTGTATTCCTTTCCCAGCTCTCCTTCCACACCAGCGCCCGCAACTAATGGGTGCGTGGTGCAGTGATCTCCCGGCCGCGGTTCGAAGAATAGACGCACAAGCTCGGATTTTAAAATGTAATCCGGCAGCGAGGTCAACTCGACGATGTAGGCGTCCAAGTCGACCCTCCTCTGACTGGTGATGAGGTCGTCCACTTCATCCAAAGGGCCAGGCATCAACGGCAGTATCCGTTCGGAGGGGGTTCCATCAGCTCTCGTCTCCCTACCCGCCTCGGCGGGATAGTGGTCCAGCAGCGCAATTTGAAATTCGTAAAAGTCGTCGTACAGCCTGTACAAGATCAGATCCCGCTCTTCTCCATTAGGCGCACGCGGAATGCGACTTTCAGGATCTGTACCTGGGAGGGGATCGTGCGCGACGTGGGCAGCTTGTATGCGGAACCAATAGTCGCCCTGCTCGAAGTGGAAGGAGTCCACGGTGGCAGAGGTGACCAAACCTGCCGGTAGGGGTTCTCCAGGTGACATGCCAGCAGGCAGCTCCACAGCACCCTCGACGTCGCCGCCCTGTTGCACGCCTCCATAATGCGCACTCGAGCTTAATTCCGCATCCTTTGAAGGCGGGGTTGGCGGCATGGCAACTCCTGATACCGCTACGTCTGTTGAGCCGAAAGGGGAGTTGCTGACCGGTGGACTACCTCCAAAGTCGAAACGGCCAAGTGGAATCGTATTCTTCTTGTAGTCCGCCGTCATCTTTTTCCACTCCTCCACCTTGGGCACCACCCCGCTCTCGATCAACTCTTGCACATTGTCGACAATCTTGCCGGTAGCCAAATCTTTGATCTCGACGAATGCTACGGGGATGAGCCCAGGGCCTCCTAGCCGGCCAATAGGTTTGGCAACAAACCACTCAAAGTTGGACTGAGCAATCACGATGATTGGCTCGCCAGCCTTTGCTTCCAGCTCGTCTGCACGTTCTGCAGAGAAATCGTACTTGACCACCGCATACAACCCGCCGCCACCCTTGGCCGTGACGGCTGCACCTGCGGCTGTACTTCTCACGGATCCCGCAGGACCTCCCAGTGTAGGCGAGCTCAGATTTGATCCGCTTCCACCGGCGCCAGGCGGTCTGGCATTTGTGAGAATGTCAAAGTATGTGGCTGGTACAAGACCGCGAGCGTTCGAAACCGGATTTGTCGCTTCGAGCCACTCTGGATTTCCCGATTCATCGGACAAGACATGGAAAAAGTCTCCCTTTGAGAAGCTAAGCTCTTGCGGTGCCCTCGACCTGTAGTCTCGCGTCGCTCTGATGACCTTCTTTGGCGGCTGGATAGACACGGCGTGCTTCACGCCAGTGAAGACTGCAGGCGCCGCTGCGCCTGGACGTCCTCCCGACTGTCTGTCCTTGTTCAGAGAGCGACGAAAATCTTTGAGCCCTTTCATCGCCGTTCCAGAGACGTGCAGAGCCTGTGCAAATTTGAGCACCAAGTGCTACGATGCAGCTGCGAGATTGGTTGGGTTTGGCGTTTGTTTTGCTGTGCGGTCAGGCTTGGATGGATGCGTCCTTTGCGGAGTCGCAGGCTGCTTGGATAAGCGAGCGAAGCGCAGACAAGGTTGCACGCCTGATCGGACGTGCGATCTTTGGTGGACTCTTTGATGTGGGGACGGGGCGAATTGTAGATGTCCCGGGGAGGTAGATGGTGGAACGCTA